CAGACTGAGGACATGCAGGCAATGAGGGCATTAGACCTTCTGATTCCCATCCCTAGGGGAAAATAATGTTTCTGCATGGACTTTAGAGAACATCAGAAGAAAATATTAACAGACTTGTTTCCTACATCTTGCACTGATGACTAGCTCTAGCACCTAGGAGAGTGGGGAACATTTTCATACTGGACTTGATCAAAGGTTATTGAGACATGTCTTCGGTAGACAGCGGTAAGAAGTCAGCTTTCATCATACATTTTGATATGTTTGAATTTAGCACAGTCCCATCTGATCTTTTTGAAAGAGAAAATTAGCAGCAACTTCCAACTTTTCTCAGTGCAGTAAATTACAAAATGTAGTTACAGCCTCGGCTTTTTACCTATTTAGTAAACATAGCAAATGTTCATAAAAGAAGTATAATGTATAGCAATAGAACTAGTTGTAATTATATATTTAATTCATGTTGACAGGTATCAAGCATATGGATTAATAGTGCCTTTATTATTTAATATAATTTCAATAGATAGATTCATATAATATTTTGGCAAATAATGATTGAAAATGTTTTATAATTATTATAATCTCATTCATGTACTTATTCGTTTTGCTATACACCCTTCACATAAATTGAATTATGTCATGCTAAAGAAAGTTTTGTATCCTCCCAAAGTTCAGGAGACAAAACCACAAAACCATAAAATGATAGCAAAACCCTTCTAACAAAAATATGGCAATGGAAAGTATTCCTCCAAAGGATTGCATTGGCAATGCATTTATTTGGATTCCTACACAAAGACTGTTTGCCTATAATAGTAGGACATTATTTATTTCATCAGGTGTGCAGGACAAGTCATATGGACATCCTATAGTCACAAAATACACTGACGTTACCATATAAACCTCAATGTTAAAACAAAATATCAGGACAGTTAAACAACTTCATCACTTCCACCTCAAAATGAGCACTCAATTCCGTGGCCACGATTTTCACTCGGCCAAATTACATAGAAACAGTACAATGTTGAACAAGCAAAAGTATAACCTATCGATATCTACCTCTACCAGTCAATTAGAACTGAAGAAACTTCTTGGATGAAAAGAGAGAGGAAAAAAAAATTAAGGTGAAAGTCCAGTTGTCTTTTGGAAAAGCACCTTTGGGTCAACCATGATCTGAATGATTGAGAATCTCCATAGACATTAACTTATCAATGCACGCAAACTAGGGTTGCCAGGTGTCCACTATTTGAGTGGACAGTCCGCTTTTTTCACATTATGTTCACTATATTTTTTCACAAAATAGTGGACATTTTTTTTATTCAAAATCTTTATGATGAAATGGTACGTAATCTAAAGCTGTACAGTCTACTTTTTTTTACTACTTAACCCCCCCCCCCCGCTTGTCCGCTATTTTTTGGAAGCAGACCTGGCAACCCTAACGCAAACCCGGATTGGAGTGGTTTGATTTAGGATCACAAGATTCATTTCCAAAAGGTACTCGGAACCTGGAGGTTGTTGGAGATGGTGCACATGTCTACCACTAGTCTGACGAACAGGATACCGCTAAGCGCCTGCGCGGGATCTACACGCTCGACCTATCACTGAATGGGGGAGTTTGCTGAACCAACGATTGGACCGCATTGAACGTCCGGTGAAAATTCTGACTTCGGGCTTGGGCCTGTTTCGGCCCCAAGCCTTGTGGCGCCAGCGTGCGGGGCTTGTGATGGGCCGCAGACAACGCCGAAGACAGCAGCAGAGCCGTGAGGGAGGCTCCCAGGTGAGTTGGGGCTTAATCGCGGCGGGCTCCTTTTGGCCATTCCCGGCGGGGAAAAGCCACCGTTTTCCGCAGAGCTCGTATTCTGTTAAAAGTTTTGCCAAGAGAGGCTGAATGGCCATCCGGCCTACTGGGTTTCTCCGCTTCTGCCGTCTGATACCTCAGCCCGTGTGGCTGTTCTGGGCCGATAAAGAACCCCGAGGCGCTTCGCTCGTGAGAATAGGACTCGGTTGAGACTTCCCCTCCTGGCTTGCTTCTCCCCAGGGCTGGGCCGATGGTGGGTATCCGGACATCGTGAAGGAGAATGCGTCGTTTGAACACTACTACGGGCAGCTTGGCATTGTGCCTCAGGAGGAATGGGAGAGCTTCCTGGCCACTCTGCGGGAGCCTCTGCCAGCCACCCTGCGGATCACAGGATATAAGAGGTGAGCAAGTCTTTATTTGCTGTTTCTTACCGGAAAAGGGTTCGGCACTAAGTTCACCTTGGTTGATGGATGAGACCTGGTTAGCATCTGTCTGGGGCACCACTAGGGCAGGGGTAGGCAACCTTGGCTCTTTTATGACTCATGGACTTCAACTCCCAGAATTCCTGAGCCAGCTATGAGTGAGTTGTTCAAGTTATTTCTTGTGAGTATCATTGGAAATGGTATCTTACAAAAACTAATTCTTAGCATATTCAGGAATGCTAGGAAGACAGTTAAAACCCTTGGCTCTTCACATTTCATTCTCACTCATCCATCAACCTGCATATACTGTACACCCAATAATGCAAACTTCTCAACCTGAAGGCTGAAGTGGCACAATCTCAGGGTGATTTTGTCACTTTATCTGATGTTTATGCAGTCACAGATATACATTTATCACTTCAAGGAGCCACTCAAGCAAACACAGGGAGCATAGTTCCTTCCTTCCTTCCTCCCTCCCTTCCTTTCTCCCTTCCTTCCTTCCTTCCCTTCCCTTCCCTTCCCTTCCCTTCATCTGCTTATTACAAATTTTAATAAACAAATTTATCTTTAAGGTGCTATAAAGCTCCTCCTGCTTTCTTTCTTGGACTGTTTCTCACTGAACAATTGAATATCTACCATCTCACAGCTGTTTTTGCTTTGCTATCCCTAAAAAGGGATAGTCATGTAGAAGTGAGGTTTGTAGTACTCAAGCTGATCCTCCATTATGTAGAAAGTGCATGTTGCCTCCGGTGGCAGATATTAAGGACCAGCTCAGACAGAACCTTGCATACCACCTGATCTATCCTTCACCCTCAAGGCTAGAATGATGTTCTCAGAGGCAGTACCTGACACTAGTCCTCTTTGAAAGTAGGATTTAGCTGTCA